GTCAGCCGGCAGTAGAGAAAACATATCATTTGTTATATCTTTGTCCTAGGAAGAGAGAGAAACTCTAGGAAGAGAAGAAGAAGAGTTCTTAGAATGAGAATAGATTTCCAAGCTTGATCTTCACACCTTGAGCCGTTAGATCCGTGTTTTGAGGTTAGAATCTTGATATACTCTTGTTGTTCTCCATGTTCATTTAATCACATTGCATGATCTAGCATTTTCATGAGCCATGCATTGATTTAAAACTTGCTTTAGAAAGAAAAAATGATGTTCTTGTGTTCTTGAAATAAAACCATGTTTAGATCCGAAAGTTTGTATCAAGATCCATGTTTTTGTGTTTATTTTCATAAGATCTTCGAGTATGGGTGCCTAGGTCCATGTCTTCGAACTCATCTCATGAAATCTCAGATTTTGAATAAAGAAGTTAAGATTTTTAGCATTCATGTTCTTCATGTACATGTTCTTCAAAAAGAAACCCAAAATTTCCAGACTTCATTTCCCTGAATGTGGTCATCGGGACCACACCACGGCCAAGAGGTGTAGGACCTCGGCCAAGACCTGGTTGGTACCCAGCATGTTTTCCCGAGATGAGAAACAGTGTTTTAACTCCCAGCACGTGTTTTACTTTGTCTTGACTTAGTTTTGAAAGAAATGCCCAGATCATTTACACTCATGAAAAGCTTGTTTTAAGAATGCATTTGATACCCATCTTTGAGCATTTCTTCTTGTCTTCTTGAAGTGCATTAAGTGGACTTTGCCATGTATTTGTAGGTCTTGGATTCTTGCCTTAATCCCTACACCCGAAGAGCTATGTGAGTGGTATTTTTAATAAAGCTATGTTATAAAGTTTGATAAAGCTTTGCTTTGTTTTGAGAAAGTATTTGACCAAGCATGAATGATTATCCCTAGTTTTTGTATCAAGTATTATCTTGCTTTGATGACATTCTTGGAAAGTCCTTAGTACTAGGGGACTATAATGTAACTAGCGCGTTTGTCTTGGAAAGTCTTTAGTGCTAAGGGACTATAATGAAACTAGCGTGTTTTTTTGAGATATCTCCTTTTGTCTTGCCACCGACGGTTTACCGCGCGGGTTTGTCCGGAATGTCTTCCCTTGTATTATATTGATGTTAGTAAGCATCCCTTGAAATTTTGAAAGATTTGGCAGATGAACTTGGTTCATCCCTTGATTTTGTACAAGATATGCCATGTATTGTTTGATAAAGATCTCGAATATCATTCATTTAAACCTTTATTACTAATATCATTCACTGAGTATTCAAGCTCACCCTCTCCATATATATATGTAGGTGACGAGCAAGAAAGCGGTGACGCCTAGATGATTATTTACAAGATGTTTTGGTTTATGTTTTTGGCTAGCATCTTGAAGGCGGTGACGCCTAGATGATTATTTGCAAGATGTTTTGGTTTATGTTTTTGGCTAGCGTATTGAAGATTATGCTTCTTAGCTTTTGATCAAGATGTTTATGTTTCATGTCTTTTGTATATGTCGGCTTGAGAACCCTTTTGATCAAGATGTAACACGTACCTTATTTTATTATTATTCAAGTTGTAAACCATGTTGGTATGTATGTCATTTCATTTGACCTATGCACAGTTCTTATGGACCACTTAGATTTAAATTTATTGCTTCCGCACATGTAAGCCCCATATGTATATTCTAATTGTGTGTGAATCTTTATAAATTGGCCTTTGTTAATCTCGGATTACTGGCCATCACAGCACCATTCTAATAGGGGCAGAATGGGGTCGTGACAGTACAAGTTATTAATATTTTCTAAAATAAAATATATCGACATCAACATCCACATCCACATCCACATTCACAATCACAAAATCATACATATATATATCTATATACCTTGTACAATTGTCAACCAAATATTCTTTACAAAAATATATGAAACATCTTCCAACAATACTAACAATTTTTTATATTCAAGAACTTAATTTTTTGTATCTAAAGCAAAACAAAAGTATCGACAATACAAATAAAAAAAAAAAACTTATATATCATAGTTTGTTTTAATATCAACAATAAGCTTCAATATTGATACGCGAAAATATCATCATCTACTCAAAAGAAGTTGCATCTGCCAAAAAAAAAAAAATACGAAAAAAAATATCATTTACAATATAATTAATTTTAAGCTTACAGAAAATGTAAAAATTTGATATTTATTTCAAAAAATAAATAAATACAAAAAAGATTGTAAGTTACAATATCAACATGCAAAAATATCATCTCGTACTCAAAAGGGTTGTATCTGCAAAAAAAAATAAAAATAAATAAATAAATAAATTTACAATATAATTAATTTTAAGCTTACAAAAAATGCAAAACATTGGATATTTATTTCAATAAATAAATAAATACATAAATAAGAGTGTAAGTTCCAATATCGATATGTGAAAATATCATCATGTACTTAAAAGGGTTGCATCTGCAAAAAGAAAACCAAAAAAAAATCATTTACAATATAATTAATTACATCAGAGAAGAGAGATGTGAATAATTTAGAGATTGACCTGCCTACTAATTTCCTTCACCAATTTAGAAGCCTTCTTGATCGAGAAATGGACAGAATCCAACTCATTAACAATTCTACTCATTTGTTCAGTCTAAACATAAAAGAAGTATGATGCTTCAATTCTCACACCTAAATTTTAGAAGATAAAGATAAGGCTTAAAAAGAGTTTATCTCTATCTAGATAAGGGTCTAGGATAAGTATTGATCCTGAGTCCATGAAAGTGAGGCTTCTAAAGGGATCAGGTCACTGTTGGTTACAAAAACAAGGCACCCTTGTGGGTCTGAGGTAAGCTCTTTATTGTGAGTTTAAGCACCTTTTGCTATCTGTGAGAGATATTATTTACTGACTTGATTGTCGGAGTGCCTCCTGGTGGACGAGCCACCGCGGTATTCTGATGTTCTTGTTATAGGTTGTTGGGCTTAATCTGTTCTGCCAGTGCTCTCTAGGTGAGTTCCCCTTTTGATTGTGTGGTCGGAAATCAACACCTATAATTTGGCATCGTCTGTGGGAACTTAAGGAGAGTAGATGGCCAACAACGGGCAGTGAGAGTGGTGAGCATGTAGATCCCAATGTCAAAGAAGAAAACCTTAATAAAGGAGCACATGATCCGAATCTTAAAAAGAAGGATGTCGGCAAAGAAGGTAATGCCCCGAAGAAGGGTGGCCGAGATAAGTATTACAATGAAAGTGACCTCCAGGTATGGAAGGATAGATGCCTAAGGAGGGACAGCGAGATAAAAAGGATGGCAAACAAGTTGGCAGACCTGCAGTCGGTTGTCAACTTCATGATGCAGAACAACGTGATGCAACCACCATTCTCATTGCAGAACACGCACCAGCGGCCAAGACTGACGCCCAAAAAGGGGGGTAGAAAACAATATCTAGTAGTCTCGCAGCACGACAAGGAAAAGGAACATTTACATCAGTTGTCATGAGATGTTAGGTGAGCAAAGTTAGTGAGAGGTGAGTCACAAAAGACACCACGAACCAAGGGAACCTATGTCAAAAAACCTTTGCTTATCCAAGGGAAGGGCCTTTGTTTTGATGCAGTGGATGAGAAGTCCAAATGGATGCATAATTACACCAGGAGCAGCGCGCCAAAGGGACTAAAATTTGTTGATAGCTAAGCTCCCGGCAGGATAAAGGAGGATCTGAGGAACTGCCTCTAAAGGAAGTAGCATGTAGACACCCTATTTTTGACCGTCCCCAAGACTTGGTTATGTTGGAAGGTACATCCAGCCACAAGTTCGATTGCTCGTCGAGTGCTCGACTTTCACGGCGGAACGTCACAGGTTTGAGCTTTCCAAACCCTGTATCCTTTCTGCCCCATTTTTGGACCATGTGTTGGTCCATTTAGCATGATTCTCATGAGGCACTGCCTGCCATTGGTTGGCCCAAACAAATTTAAAAACTGGAGGTACATTAGCAGGTATATGATGTGGCATAGAAAAAAAAAATGTAAACTAGAACAATTGTTATCCATGAGCACCTCTAACCACAGACAAGTTCATCGCACAAGTTGAGAAAATTTTAGTCTTCAGATAGGTCAGCTACAATTATTCGCAACATAACTTTCTTTTTTATCATTTTTAATTGTAACTTAGAATATCAAGACAGAGATAACAAATGCATACTTTTAGATACGTGCTAGCTTTCTGGGCATTGCCAAATGTAGGTGTTTCAACAATATGTAGCAAAAGTTAACTAACTCTGGTTAACTTGCCAGCCTATCATCAAAAGTAAAAAAGGAAAGGCAGCTAATTATATCAATAATAAAGAAAGGAAGGGGCTAATCCAAAGCCTTCTCTCACATGTGTCACTGTGAGACACATGGGTGAAGGAGGGGGCTACCAATGCAATTTTTTGACTGCAGAATAACAGTCTCCCTAAGTAAGTAAAAAAGATAAAACTAAATGTCCAATGATTCCTATACCACTCGAAGACAGATAGCTGAACCTCACTGAGTTAGCCAAAATTGATACAAGCAAACCAGCAAAAGATCAAATGATTGTTTCTGAAGGAAAGCACCAAGCTGTAGTAGTAGTAACAGCAACAGGTGCCATTAGTGATACAAGAGGGGTTTCAGAAAACCCATCCCAAGCCCGGAGAGGGGGAAGAGGGTTGTGGGTAACCAAAAAGCCAACATAAAACTTAAAATCAAATTATGTTAGTAGTGACACAGATTGAAGATAAAGTGGGGAAATGCCATTTGAGATGGCTTTGCCCTTGTGCATTGTAGGTTAACTAATGCATAGGCATAAAAGAGTGACTCGAATCAAATTGAAGGCTCCAAAACAATTACATGTGGTCAAGCCAAGTTTGGACTTTTTAAGTCTTTAATCAATATATAGCTTTACATAGAGTTAGCTGGAGAAGATAGACATACGAAGCAACCAAAGGCAATTGGCATAAGGCTTGTTGAGTTGACTGGAGCAGAATAGATATACTAACCTTTTTTGACCTATCAATGGCTTGATCAGCCTCATCCATCGTCCGATTTCCATTATCTATTAACTCTTGATTCGTCATAGCTGCATTTGGTTACTTTTCAAATCAGAAATCTTACAAAAAAGAATACACATCAGTAAAATGAAATTTACACGAACATAATGTAGGCTTACACTTCCATAACATTCAAGAATTAAAAACCATGCAAAAGAATTTTTAACCATGAAGCAGGTTTTATTAGTTCATAATAATGACAGTTAGGCCCCTCAAGATGATCCATAAAACAGGCCATTCCTAGTTCTAGGTGAACTAATCATAGACCTATCCTTCAGCATTAATTGCAGAGTGCCTACCCAGCTGCACTTGTACTCAAACCCTTGTTCTCACTCTTAGTGCCAAGCTTTTACCATTTTACTAATTTTTTAGAGGGGTTTTGTTGACAAGTGGCACTAGTTAGAATGTATTAAATGAAGCCAACTACCTCCACTTGCATAGAAATCAAAACAAGTAATGAATGTTTGCTTGGAATGAATTTAATTCTTTTGTGATAAGACCAAAATATTCTCTTTCTTTTTTAGTAAAAAAAAAAAAATTATCTATGTACTTTTTAGGTCCATTTTTCGACTATACAATTTTAAAAATTAGAAAAATTTAGTCAAAACTTTTACAAGTGAAGGAAGAATCAATCAACTCATGGGAGATTCTAAGGGCATGTCTCATATTGATTCTTGAGTTGGAGGTAAGCTATAGGATTATGACCAAATTCTAGAGCAGCTCGCAGAAATTGCACTCACCCAGACTATGATCATACAGTCAATTTGCTTGGCCATTATAGCAAGTTCCACAACTCTTATTCAGCAGCAGCATACTGGTTGCCAACATTTGTAAATTTATCTCCTTAAAAATAAGCCTCATCTTTGGAAGGGAAAGGAGACTCATATGTTTATATTAGGTGAGGTTCAACTGTCCAGTGCGGAAAGAAAAATAGCATGCAGCTGAAATGTTCCCAAATGGGAACTCAGAAAAATGGAGAACTTAGTGCAGTTTGAAGTTGCAATTAAGAAAATCCACTACCTTGAATTAAAAGCTGTGGCCTTGGTATATCATATGTGACATCAGTTATTAGTTGAAGTGTTAGTTCACCCAAAGAAATCAGAGTACTGACCTCTACAAGGGCGGCCACATTCTACATATTCTTGGTGAAAGCTAGAATATGAACCAAAACCTGATTGGCTTGTTTTGGCTCTGTTCATCAGTGCTTCTGTTTTGCTCCCAGTTCGAAGTTTGACTTCAAAAAAAAAAAAAAAGGCTGTTTGGCTATGGATTGCAGGGTCAGTTTACTCAAGGTCCCAAACCAAACTGAATATACACGCACACACACATATATCTTACTCAAGTAAAGAAGGTACAATCTATACAGAAGTAGAGCTTCTTCAAATAAGTGGAACAGAATCCAACCAAGGCCAACAAAAGACTTGAAGAGGACAGCAGCATGTTGTCTTGCATCATTCATGAGAAATAGCCTTTATTCCTCAATTGAATAGGCCTGGATAGGCACCTAAGAAGCACGGACACTTCTAAGAAGGTGACGTATTCGTGTCGTATCCGTGTCGGACACCGATACTCTTTGGACACTCTCAGGACACAAGAAATCAGAGTACTGACCTCTACAAGGGCCACATTCTACATATTCTTGGTGAAAGCTAGAATATGAACCAAAACCTGATTGGCTTGTTTTGGCTCTGTTCATCAGTGCTTCTGTTTTGCTCCCAGTTCAAAGTTTGACTTCAAAAAAAAAAAAAAAAAAGGCTGTTTGGCTATGGATTGCAGGGTCAGTTTACTCAAGGTCCCAAACCAAACTGAATATACACGCACACACACATATATCTTACTCAAGTAAAGAAGGTACAATCTATACAGAAGTAGAGCTTCTTCAAAATAAGTGGAACAGAATCCAACCAAGGCCAACAAAAGACTTGAAGAGGACAGCAGCATGTTGTCTTGCATCATTCATGAGAAATAGCCTTTATTCCTGAATTGAATAGGCCTGGATAGGCACTATGCAAGTCTTCTACAATTGGCCCAACTAAGCTGTGTCTAGCTTTAGTAACTATTTTGTTAGTTTTTGCTCCTCAAACAATTGTAAAAGGATAGAATAAGGTCTTTTATTAAAGCTGTTACAGCTGCATGGATAGAAAGAGACAGAAGGGCTAAGAGAATAGTTGATAGTATTAAAGAACACATTTATTGTGCTATAGAATTGTACTCAAGACAAAAGGCTTTATTATTTGCTATGGTATGCAATTATTCAATACAGAATGTGTTGGAAATTGCATGTTTGCTATAGCTATGGAATGCATGAACGTTGCCGGAGTTGGAGAAGTATCATTATCGAAACACTAACCGCTATTATAACATCTGCAAATTTGAATTGTTTTCAAATCCAGTAGTTTGGTGATAACATTGCATCATTGCTAGTGGAACATATCACAACTAAGTTGACACACACTAAATGTTGGCAAGACACCAACAGAAAACAATAAAAAGAAAATAGCACCAGCATTAACAGAACAAAACAGCAACCAACACTCCCACTGCTGCCTCAGTTTTATGATTCAGTTGCCAATTCTCACTTAATAAAGATTGACACGAATATCATTAATTGAGTAATCTTTCAACTTAAAATTGTTCTTAACCCATATGTTATCATCTGTTCCCTCATGTATGTAATTCATTGCAAGTACTTGGTTCTGCAAGAAATTGTCAATAAAATACTAATAAGAAAAAAACTGTTAAATGAACCCAACAAACAAGAAAAAGAGAATTATTTTAGCAAATTTCTCAGGACGAACTGTAATTACAAATATAAATTTGTGAAGATAAGCTGTTAGATATATATATATATGATTGTTTTATAATTATCTATCTGTATTATAGATGTATCTCATCTCTTTTTCTATAATTATCTCTGATGTATCTTTATCTCATTTTCTATACTTATCTACGTTTCTTCTCAGCCTATAAATACATACTTCTTGTATTTCATTATTCAATTCAATATATAGTTTCTCTTTTCTCTTCTCTTTCTACTTTCATAACATAAGCAAAGTTGTTCATAATTTGAGATGCATTGAAAAGAGAAAAATTACTTAATTTTTCATTAAAAATTAGAAGTTTCAAGAAACTAAAAGATCTATATTTTGAGCTTATGTGGCAGCTTATGTGGCTCATGGAATTTGGGAGCTTATGTGGCTCTAGGTTTAGTTGAAAGATCTATATTGTGATCATGGTAAACCAGCCGCAATCTTGTGATCTGAAGGATTTGGTCCAGAAGTTTATTCCTGAATCAATTGATAGGGAGATTGAGAAGACAACTTCAAGCATCTACCCTCTGCAGAATGTCTTCATTCGCAAAGTCAAGAACTTGAAAGCTCCCAAGTTTGATCTTGGCAAGTTGATGGAGGTCCATGGTGACTACCTACGGAGGATGCTGGAGTGAAAATGGAAAGGCCTGCTGAGGAGCCTGTTGAGGCAGCAGCTGAGGTAATTGGAGCTTAAATGAAGCTTTATGGGTTTCTTTTGTTTCTCAAATGTTGTTTATGGTTTTTCAAAATAAGGTTCCATCAACATTGCTCATAATATAGTTCAACATGATAGAACCAAGAATATTGAAGTTGACAGACAATTTGTTAAGAAAAAGTTGAGCAAGGTTTTGATTTGTATGTCAGTTAGAAGATATATTCACTAAAAGGCTTGGTAGTAAGAATTTTCACCCCATTATTTGCAAGTTGGTCATGATAAGTATTACGTATTATGTGAACTTGGAAGTGTATTTGTAGTTACCAATTTAGGGCTGGTTTGGGATACCTCAAAAAAGCCAAAAAGTTAATAAAAAAGTTAAAAAGTTATTACTATTCACCAAAAAAAATATAAAAAAAATAATTTTACAAAAAAAAAGTACAACTCACGTCATGTGAGTTGTACTTTAGCTGCCCACCGTTTGTACAAAAGGAACAGGCGGAGAAGCAAACAAGGCGGTGTTGTTCGATCCGTGGGGGCCCATCACGAGTCCCGTTTTGATAATCTGAACTTTTCATTGTGTAGAACTCCTCGAGTAATATATGCCTGTAAAAAATCAGGTTGAGCGGATATCGCTAACTACATGATCATAAAAAAAATAATTTTACAAAAAAAAAGTACAACTCACATGTCATGTGAGTTGTACTTTAGCTGCCCACCGTTTGTACAAAAGGAACAGGCGGAGAAGCAAACAAGGCGGTGTTGTTCGATCCGTGGGGGCCCATCACGAGTCCCGTTTTGATAATCTGAACCGTTCATTGTGTAGAACTCCTCGAGTAATATATGCCTGTAAAAAATCAGGTTGATCGGATATCGCTAACTACATGATCAAATCCGTTTTGTATAAAAAATGGATGGTGTTAGAGTTAATGGCTGACAAAAAACTACACTGATCAGATAGATATCGATATCCGTTTAACGTGATTGTTTACAAGCATATAGTACTCAACGAGTTTTATACATTCAACGGTTCCAATTAGCAAAACGGGACCCGTGGTGGGCCCCCACAGGCCAAACAGCATCGTCCAATTCAATGCCCGAAAAGGAGGCAAGCTTCTCCTATACACTACTTTGCCCACCGTACTACCTACTCTGCCCAAGCTTTTCATATACACTAATTCATACAATTTTTTAATACACATTTTTTCGTAAAAAATCAAAAAGTTATCCCAAACAACCATTTTTTTTTCCTCAACTTTTTAGTCCAAAAAGTCAAAAAGTGTACTTATTGAGAACACCCTAAACAACCCCTTAATATTAATACAAGAGGATGATGGAGAGAATCCTAATTCACTCTCTCTCTTCCCATCCCAGTATACAATTTCTCTTTTATTCTCTATTCTTCTTCTTATTGTTAAATCTAACTAAATTTAACAATAATTCAAGGAACCACAAATTTTGTAATTAAATACTTACTATGTTTTGTTTCCTCTAGAAAATTTAACATTAACTCAGTGAAAAAGATTATTGATTGTCATCTTCTCCCAAGTTCTCAATTTTCATATAGACATAAAATTCCTAGTTAGTAAATTCCTATTTTAAAAGCATAAAGTATTTCTTCATTGCATCATCTCAATTCACTAGGCCAAAACTATTTGGCTAAATTCTAATAACTTCCCGCAAAATCACATTTCAAATGAAATTTTCATGTAAGACAAACGGCAAGGAGTTCACATTCAGATTACAAGAAAAATATTCAACAGTACCTGGCCTAACTAGAGAACTGGCATTGGAACACCAATTCTATTAGTGTTGAATGATTCAGCATTGGAGTTTCAGGTAGAATATTCGCTGAATTTCCCCCACTCCAAGAGGGGCATGTTTTTATTTTATTATTTTTTTGTTATTAAGTCATCAATTTATTTTAACAGTGTTTGTTACATGTTTCAGAGTTTTGATTTTTGTTAAGTATTAAAATGCTTATATTTCAGAAAAATATGTGAAGCTTTAGCTTCCATGAGGCTTTGTCTAATTAAAATGTATACTTGCAGAGATTGGGATAGGCGCTTTATGAGGTTATATCCACAGTACAATTCATGGGAAAATCCAAAAGATCCAGAACGATCACTTGTTTCCCTCTTTCAATTGAGATCAAAACCTAATTTTTTAAAAATTGGTGTTTAGGGTTAAAATCCAATGAAGAGGGTTTGATTCCAATGAAGGCAAAAGAAGAGAAAAAGAGGAGTGAACAACAGAGGAAAGCAGAGGAGAGATATACCTGGATGCCGGATGGAGAACCCGTGGAAAGTCGCTGCCGCCACTGCTACAGACAGTCTGTGAGGCTAACTCGAGAGCGAAAGCAAGAGAGAGAGATTGTGAGGGTTGGTGCGAGCGAGTGTGAGAGGAAAGAAAAGGAGAGGAGAGGAGGGTTACCTCTTCCCACGCTGGTGCTGTTGGGGCTGTGATGACTGGGAGCTCTAGTTAGACAGAGAATGGCGACTAGAGAAGACAGACGGTTTTTTTCCCCCTTTTTTTAGTTAATTTGAGAAGAGCATACTGCCATGGTCTTGAAGTTTCCATGGCAAAAAAATTTATTTGACAACGCCGCCATTTGCTGTCACAAAAACATGTTTTTGCAATGATTTTTAAACCGTCGCAAAACGTTTCGTGTCCAATACTTCCTTTTCTAGTAGTGGTGCAGTGCAACACTGGACTCTGTCAAATAAATATAGTTGTTTATTAGTATTGGGGAAATTATCCGTAGGTCCTGTTTGAAATATGTGTACACTATTTAATCCAATAACTTTTTGAGTAGATCCAAAAATCTTACATGTTTTACTCTCTCTCTCTCTCTGCTTCTTGTCTCATTATTTACGTTTTCCTCTCTCTCTATTTTTTGTGTTTTACTCTCTTTCTCTTTATCATGTCCGACGACTGGTGATCACACCTTCCTTATTCTCTTTCTCTTTCTAATATATAGTCACCGTGACCAACGACTACCATTGATTAGGGTTCACCAGCAACCACCAACCACTGACATCAACTCGTGACTTCATCATCACCGACGACGAAGAAGATGAGATCTACATCAGATTTGAGTAGATCTACATGAGATCCAACTAGATCTAAATAAAAAATGGTTGCTGAAGTACAATATTCATTCTATATCTATTATTTCCTTTGATTTCTCAATTTTTCTACCTTTTCTCCGTTACACACGTCCATTTTTCTATTTTAATGGAGAAAAATTTCAAATTCTGAATAAGTTGTTTTTAAGTTTTAGTTACAGGCGGCGAAAACAATAAAATTTTACAGTTTTAGCTTTTTTGGTGCTGAAATGAATCATACTTTAAAACTACAAAATTTTGCAATTTCATAACATTCTTTAGAACTGTAAAATTTTACAGTTTCATAACATGTTTTCCAGCTTAATAGAATAATGGTTTGAAACTGTAACATTTTACAGTTTCAAAGCTTACTTTTTAGTTTGACCAATATTACGGATTATTTGTTTAAACCCTACAAAAATTGAAAAACAATATATACTTTTTCCCATTGTTGTTTGTTGTTGTTATGTTTTTTAACTATAATTTCTCCATTTATTCTTTTTTTTCAGACAATATTTTGAATATTCCGATGAGTCTCCGATGATATTCTTGACATTTTTCAGTGACGCTCAGAACACTCCGGTGAACTTCCGACGATGCTCAAAACACTCTGGCAAACTTTCGGTGATGCTCCAGCGAATTTTCCGGTGATGTTGAATATTCCGACGAGTCTTCGGTGAGTCTGACGAAAGTTGTTGGATGTAGCAACATTTTTAAAGTTATAAAAATAAAAATAAAAATAAAAAAGAGTTTTTGGTAACAATTAAAAATATGTAGGACTAATTGGTATAAGTATTTTGTTTTGAAATTAGATGAATTTTGAGCTTTGTGTATGGGATTTATTGGTAAGTGCCCCTTATTATTTGGTCGTTCGGGATGACGACATCAACCCATATCTATTCAAGAAAAACAAAAGAACACGTATGCTATGAGATCATCAAAACTAATTATGTAAATTACATTATTAGTCCTTCTAGTTTGAGCAAAAATTTCACTTTGATTCTTGTAATTTTAATTTGAACTATTTGGTCTTGTAATGTGTTCCCTCCGTCATACATTGTCAAGATTTTGAACAGCAAAAACCACATGCAAACTTATGCTGTGTTTGGTTGGGGGATTTGAGGAGGGATTTGGAAAGGGAAAGGGAAAAAGTGTGTGAAACTAGGTGAAATATAGGCATGTTTTATTCATATTTCACCTTCCTTTTTCATTTCCTTTTCCAAATCTCTTCAAATCCCCCAACCAAACACAGCATTAAGGGGGCCAAACAAATTATAAAACCCACCTGTGTAATGAATATATTACACTGATGGTCCCTATAATTCGTTTTGAATTTCACTTCAGTTCCTCGAATTTTATACAAAGTCATTTTCCGTTTTAAATTTTAGTGGTAAGTGACGTAGGGACCACATTGCAACAAAATTAAAAATGTAAGAAAAAAATTATTCAAATTAAAAACTATATAGATTAAAGTAATACTTTAAATTACAAAAATTAATGATACAATATAATTTACCCAAACTAATTAGTTTACTTCTTTAATGCATTCCCATTCAAACTCGGTTACTTTTGTCTAGGGTTTAACAAAGATGGAATATTATACAAAATGGTTATCAGTAATTATTTAACTTTCTAATCCACTACGAAAAAATCAACTAACATGATAAAAAGAAAAAAAAAAACATATATATATATATATTATAGATCCCTTTATGTTTTTATTTAGAAAGTAAGTTGTCTCTAGTGGACAATCAACTTGTGGTTAGTTCATAATAGTGACTTACATAATCGTCTCAGATATTATTCATCACACACATAACTTGCTAATAATTTAGTAACTTGAAAAAGTAAGTTTATACTTTTTTTTGATCATTTAAACATGAGTCAAATACTTAAACACCTTAAAACTTTCTCCATTTTATAGAGTAACTTTTTTAACATATTTTGATTGTGCAAAATATCCAACAATACTACGTTATTAACATATTATTCTCCCTAATTGTTTTGACACGTTATGATGTATAAATTATTGCATTTATTCACCAATTGTTTTGACATTTTATCATGTATAAACGTTTTTTTTTTATTGCATTTATTCATAAATTCCTTTTCATTTATTTATATTTCACTTGATCTAAATTATTTTCTTAAATCAATAAATTGCATGGGTGACATAATTATCAAAATACTCCTAATAATAATAGGGTAAAGCACGCATTAATGTTCATATTGATAGTGTAAATATTTTATAATGTGAACATTCACACTGTCAATTTGAATATTCACATTGTCAACGTGAACATTCATACTGTCAAATTTATTTAATGTAAATATTCACATAGCCAATTGGTAAGAGTTCAAAAAATATTTGTAAGGGTAAAATTATTTATAAAATACCTTAAATATGATAATTAGGATTTAGTGTATTAAAGGTCCAAAATAATAAGACTTATTGAAATATAAGGATGCTTTATGAACTAATTAGAATACAAGTATTTGAAAGATGATTTTTTCTTAATAAATTTCCCTTTATTGTTTAGAAATATGTCAAAATAAGTAATATTTTTTTTCTTTTGAAATGATGATGTGTGTACACACACAAGAAATATGAATTTTTGTTTGTTATTTGCAGTGTTGGGATTTATATCATTGAAAATATCAACAATGAATGCTTTGCCACTATTTGAGTGTGAATTTGTTTACACAATGTAAACAATATATGTGGAGAGATAAAATGCTGGCCCAAGTTCAAAAGGTAATTAAACAAAGTGGCCCAAAGGAAAGGCCTAGATAGATTACTAAGGGGCCCATTAGAGACTACTGGTGGAACAATGGCACATGACTGAGTGTATGAGGAGCAAGGAGATCAGCAGAATGCTAAAGGATCATTGGATTCATCTTCATCTAATGGTGAAGACATCAAGCAGCAAATACAAAAACATAGGTCAAGTTTACTAAATGGCATAACCATCTGATCAGCTTGATTGGACGACCATAGCACTTGGCAAGTTGCCCACTAACATCTGACGCAATCTAAGCCGTCTGAAAGATGATGATCCAATGATTAAAGATAAAAGCAACATGGCCACTTGCTTGACCAGACCCAAAAGCGAGCAGAACTCTCGAATCAAACATTAATCCAACGAATGGGTTTAAGTCAAGAATATTATAAAAGGCGAAGCGGGTGAAGCAAAAAAGACAGACTGGAGGTAATCTATAGCGATCCCGGTTTTGACCCAACCTTTGTTACATTCCAAACTCGAGTTTCGTGATTTAATATTGTATCCATGTCTTGCTTTCCTCATCTAACTCTATGAATTTGAGCTTTGGAACATGTTGGGCGTGTTTGAAACAGGTTGGTTGTTAGTTGGTCTAGATTGTTGTTGCCTAGATTTTGGCTTCTTTGCTCGAGCGAGGCTTCTTGCGCTTGAGGGAGAATTGAGAGTCCTCAGGTTTCTTTCCCAGACGCAAAATTTCTAGAAAGGTGAAGTTCTTTGCTCGAGCGAGCGTGTGCGTCTGTAAAACTTCTGAAGCTTTGCATTCTGCGCTCGATCGACGATTCTTGTGCTCGAACAAGGTCACTTGTTGTGTTTGGTCGTTCGAGCGACAACTCCTTCGCTCGAGCGAAGGTCACGTATATCAGTTCGCAGCTGAGTCATTTTACATCACATTTTGATTTCCTTTTTCCTAAAAATCCTAATCTGGCACCCTCTCTCTCTAAAACTCTCTTTCTCTATAAATACTCCAAGATTCAAGCATCTCTACCCTACTTCCTTTGAGAAAAAGGTGGAGCATCTTGTGGGCTTCCATTTCATTCGAACCAAACTTGGTTTTGTGCACTTTTGAGGTTCTTCTTCATCTCCTTTGATCTTCCACACTTGAGGTAGGGACATTCTACACCTTAATATGAGTTTTAACCTAGGTATTTGTTGTTTTGTATAAATCATGAGATTTGGGGGTGATTTGGGTAAACTAAGGTTTGGGCTCAAATTAAAAAGAGGGGTTTCCTATGTTGGGTTCCATAAATGAGTATTGGGTATTGAATATGAGGTTACCTTAGGTTAAAATGGTGAAATTTGGCCTTGGGGTTGATATTTGGAAAATGGGGAAAATTGCCCTAATTTGTGTTAAATAATTATTTTGTATAAATAATGAAATTGATATGGGAAATATGAAATTGGGAAGATGTGCGAATGGATAGTGGATTTGGATTTGATTAATCACTCACCTATGGAATTTGATAAATAATATGTTATATAGATTGTATATCTGTTTAGAAATATCTGTTTTTGGGCTATTAGTAGAGGATAACTATGATTGTTGTAGAAATTGCATCAGGACTAGGTGAATTGAAACCTATCATTTAAATTATGTCATTGAATATGACGGTATGATTGAAACATTTAAAATGTGTTGTGGATAGTCATTGTATATGACGATGTTTTAATACATTGTATATGTATAATTGTTTGATAGAAGAGAGGGAATGTACTCCATTGTTTGGAAGGAGATAGGGGATGGACTCCATGTAAAATTAAGTTGGCCGGAGTGTCCAGGGTGAAAGT